TATCCGATCAACGTAACTTTTTTTACAGAAATGAAGTACTCAACGAATTTTACACATTAAATGGTTTGAATGATTGAAATAGAACCCATGGTAAGTCTTCACGGATCCAATAACATGCTCCAATCTGATTGCAGACTGGAGGAAACCTGAACCTTGATATTGTTTATGCGGTAATGATACATCCCACTAAAAGTGGTGCTCTAAAGCACCACTAATGAGTTGGCAATCACTTTAAATAAATAAATAAATAAAAAATAAAAAAAAAAAAAAAAAAACAAGACACAAGCAGTGGGTCCTGTCCACTGTCACATCACTAGTGGTGCTTTTAGAGCACCACTTTTAATGGTCTCAAGTATTATTGTTGTTTATGTGGCAATCTTATTGGTCATGCAATTAAAGAAGTGTACTTTTGTTTCATTTGTATTTAAGACTAAGCTGTCATCAAATTGAACAATTCTGGGGATGCTGGCTGTGAGGGTGTAACCTGCGAGCGCAGATTCTCGGCCGCATTACCCAGCAGCCGTTTCCAACAGCCCCCAAAACGACGTCGTTTTGGGGGCAGTTGGAAACGGCTGCTGGGTAATGCGGCCGAGAATCCGCGCTCGCAGGTTACACCCTCACAGCCAGCATCCCCACAATTGTTCAATTTGATGACAGCTTAGTCTTAAATACAAGGGAAGGGAAGGGAAGGGAAGGGCAGGGCCGGACTGGAGGGGGCCATAACCAGTGGGGGAGGAGGAGGAGGGGGGGGAGGAGGAGGAGGAGGCGGGGTCGGAGGCGGAGGAGACGGCGCACCGTTGCTGCGACGAGGTGGGTCGAACGACGATCGGACGGCTGCTGCGACGAGGTGGGTCGGACGACGATCGGACGGCTGCTGCGACGAGGCTGCGACTCCCTCCTCCTTCCTCCCTCTTCTCCCTCTCCGCTCCCCTCCCTCTGGTTTCTCTGTGAAGAGAGAGAAAGCAACAACGAAGAAGAAGAAAAGAAAAAAAAAAAAAAAAAAAAACCCCAAAACGATGTCGTTTGGGGGGCTGCCGGGTAGGGCGGCCGAGGATCCGAATTCGTAACCTGCTGCCACTAGATTTATTTGGACTTAATAACTACAAACGAAACAAATTTGAAATAAAAATGCTTAGAGATCTTAAAAGTTTTATTAAAATTTTTATCAAATGTTTTACATAAGTATAAAACTCATATGATATAAGTCTTATACCCATATAAAATATTTGATAGAAATTTTAATAGAACTTTTAAGATCTCTAGCATTACTCAATTTAAAATGTTTGGATGTATTAAAGTTGTTGGTCTTGCCCCCAAAGGGTTTGACCTTATCAATGAAATTTGGGATGGATTAGGGGTGGCTCTTGTAGTACTACTGCTGTACAGCGAAATGGATCTATTTTAGGACTCATTTCGATAATTCGAACCATTCACATTTTAAAATAGATTAAGTAGAACATGATTGTAAAAAATTAAATTAATCGGATATCGTTTATCTATTTATCTACTCACATTTATATCTACAAAAGTAAATAATAATAGTGATTTATTAAAGTATTTAAGTAGATACAAATATGAGTGAATGAATGGATAAACGATATCTGATTAATTTAATTTTTTACAGCCATATTCTACTTGATATATTTTAAAATATGAACGATTCGAAATATCGAAATGGGCCCTCAAATAGGCCCATTTCACCGCACATCAATCGTATAGAAGCCATCTCAAATCCATTTGGGATTTGGGAGTTTGTTCTTTTTAAGGTTTTAGATTTGACTCTCCTTGCTAATAAAATTTTTGGGGTCACAAATTGTTGAGAATAAGTAGGTTTGTTTGAACGGTAAAAACTCAATCTAATGCAAGTAAACTAGTACATAATATCTTACATATAATATATCTATCTATCTATACTATATATATAATCAAATGTAGTTATTTTGTCAAAAGCCTCCAAATATTTATTCTTAAATTCTCATAATTTTAAAACACTTTCTTTCGTACGTGGCAACCTTCTTTGATTGCCTTTCATGTTTTCTATTTTTCTTCATTTTTTATTTGTTTGATTAATTAAAATTAAAATTAATTTCATTACTTATGGATAAAGATTTGAATTTTAAAATTCCTCCATATAGATAAACATATAAAAACTGAAAATTAATTTTATAATCTACAGATAAAGATAAAAAATAAACAATTAATTTAAAAAAATTAATTTCATAATTTATAGATAATTTAAAATTTCTTCCCATAAATAAACAAATAAAAGTTGATAAATAACTTATAAAAATTAATTTTATGGCCGACAAATAAAGATAAAGATTAAATAATTGATTTTTTTATTTAAAACAAAAACAAAATTACTCTCTTTCCCCCCCCATTTCGTACTTTAATTAATTTCATTATAGATAAACATATAAAATTCATAAATAATTTATGAAAATTTATTTCATGACTTATAGATAAAGATAAAAATTTTAAAAATTATTTAAAAAAAATAATTTCATGACTTATAGATAAATAAACATATAAAAATTGATAAATAATTTATAAAGATTAATTTCGTGGCCTAATAAAGATAAAGATTAAATAATTGATTTTCAAAAAATTAAAATAATAAAATTTAGATAAAGATATGATTTGTTAATCTATATATCTATCAAAAACCTATATATCTAAATCTTTATTTTGATTTACTCATTTTTTTCCCCTCCTATCACATATTATCTTTTTTTATTTTAAATTTTTTATCTTATGAAATGCTCTTATTTATAACTTCTTATCTCCTATTAAATTCTTAACCTTCTCTTGATAATTTTTATTATTCGTTATTATCTACCAAATGATAAAGATTATAAAAAAAAAAAAATTATTGCTCTGAATGAGAATAGTATTAATAATGAAATAATAAAGGCTACATGGGAGAAGGTAGCACAAAAATCTCACAAAATTAATTTTCTTCACTATATTTATAAAATGTAATAATTTGAGATTCTTTCTATTAGTTATTAAAAATAATTTGCATTAGATCATTGTTATGTTTTTTTTTTAAATTTTTTTTTATAAGACTGTCATTCGTTATAATATTTCTTCAATCTCATCTCTAAATTCTCTCTTTGAAATTTTTATTTCTTCAATAATTAAGTTTAGAATCAATTTCTTATCAAATTTGTTTTCTTGATCCTTATTTTATTGAAGGATCGAGACGAATAAAACTTTCATATAATATATGAAATTAATGAATATAATACAAAGATGATAGGGAAGTACTACATATTTGTCAATATCTCTATGTTATTATTAGTTGATTTGCTAGATTATACTATCAATTTAGAGCCCATATGATTTAATTCAATGTTCATGACTCTATTTGTATTTGACCATTTTTTCGTTGAGTAACCGATATAATTTTTTTTTGAGTATATAATGATTAAAGCTATCATTTGTTATATTTTTTTCAAGTACAATTCAAATAATTTTTTATCATTTTTTTTATAAATAAAATGGATTAAAACTATTCTCTTATATAATTTTTATAATACTATGACATTCTTATCTTGATTAATTTTTTTAAAATGATGTAGGAACTATGCAAGTATTATTCAAACTATGGAGAATGATTTATACTTTGATATGATATGAGTGTGTCATTGATAGACGAAATCAAAGATAGAGAGTTGCTAATATAATCAATTAAGGATTTGTTTGAGAAGTTCTTTTTATAAGCAAGGCAACAAACTTAGATTAATTTTTTTAAAAAACTACTTATAAATTATAATTAAAAGTTGATATTTATTCATAATTTGATCCCACAATAATAATATACACCACTAATTTAAAAGTTCAAGTAAATTTATGATAACTTTTCTGAGCTTATAGAATTTCTCTCTTTTAATGTTTTGTTTAGTTTGATACAAATTATTTATGTTATCAAGTGATTGTGATACTATTATTCTCAACAATTTTTATAATTAATAATTTCTTATGCATATCAAATTTTATTGTAAATTTTTGTGGGTTAATTATTGTTAACATCTACCTAGATGGCTTAATATTATGGCTTGTCACTATTAAGATATAATTTAAGATTAAAATGATTTATTTATCACACAAAATATATATAATCTATTTTTTCGTGCATCGCACGGATTACCGCTAGTATATATATATCTATATAGTTGTTGATCTCATCGTTAAGTTGGGTGGGGATAATGGTTGGGAATTGTCACCAAAACTACTTGCAAGTAAACTAGTACATAATATCTTACATATATATATATATATATATAGTTGTTGATCTCATCCTTAAGTTGGGTGGGGATAATGGTTGGGAACTGTCACCAAAACTACTTGATTTTTTCTTATATAGGGAGAATTAGTGAAATATCAATCTCAAATTTTGGATAGTATGAGAGGTTTAATATATTTTTTATTATTAGTTAATATTTCTCAATAATATAATTATAGAAATTTCAGCTTGTTACAGAGAAATTTTATTTGAATTTTGTTTTTGAAAAGCTGAAATTTTCCTGTAAAAAAAGAAATTTCTCTGTGAAAATATTGAGCGATCTCATCTACTATGAAAATATTGTATGTCATTTATCTTAGAAAATCCTAATATTAGGGACCTTATTGAACTAAAAGCATCTTTCTTATATTGTGATCTAAATAATAAATAGTTCAAATTATCGAGTGAAGACTCGTGATAAGTTCTACGGGCCTAAACAAACTAGAGACAAGTTCGTTTCTAACCAAACCTTTAAATTGATCCTATAAAAAAAAAAAAAAAATTGTCATAAACATTTTTCCACATTGATGTGACATTTATCACATTATTAAATTAACTTGTATTTTTTAATCCAAAGTTTCTTGACACTATTGTAGTGCATTAATTATATATATATACATAATTTATTAGTATATATAACCTTTTTCATTTCTAAATTAATATTAGATAATTGACTATACTTATTTATTTATTTATTTGATGTGTGTCATAGGTTTCACTCTCTGCACCATACTCAATTTCGAACCAATTACTCACTCTTCATGCCCATCTACGATCACATCTATGATACTTTGGACAAGTCTACGGACACCTTATATGAAACCTCACTCCGTCGACCCGAGGAATTGCCTGATGCAGTGCATTTGACACATTTGACAACGCCGGAGTCCATCTACCACCTCCGGCTTGGGTTTGCCTCTCTTGCCTCTAGGCCTCAGGCCTCCAAATGGTACTTGTGGGTAATGTGGCCTGTGACATTTTGGTCCATGATGGTTACACGGATTTATGGTAGAACCTTTGTGGTTGAGAGAAATATTTTTGGAAATCTCAAATTACAAACTTGGGCTATACCTAAGTATAACATTCAGGTGAGATCTACAATTTCAATCCATTTTTCTCTCATTAGTAAGGGTCTGTTTAGTTGAGTTTTTATTTTTTGTTCTTGTTTTTCATATTTTTAGAATCCAAACAATCAAAAGCTTCACAACTCTAGTAGTTTTCACATTAGTTTTATTTTGTGAGAGAACATTTATTAAAGGAGAACAATTTCTTTTCAATCCACATAAAATGTGGGTTAGACTGTCCAATTGGGCCCCTAGCGTTTACTACGAGCTCCATTTAAATAATCCTCTATTTATTTTGTATGTTTCATGTGTAAATCATTCGTAAAATGAAAGAAGACTAATTTGTTAAATTGAGTTATATTATTTTGTTATATTTGTCTTCAAAAAATATATGATTTATTTTCAAGTTTATTATTTTTCTTCCTACTTTTAATAAATAAAAAAAAAATGGGTCCAATTATTAGATCAAATTGATAATTTCATAAATGATTTACACATAGAGACTTACAAATTAGACATATGAAATTATTTAAGTGAGGCCCATGGTGGAGCCACGAACCCAATTGAAGAAACTAGTTCACAATTGTGAACTAGCGGGAAGCTTTCCCCTCATAAAAAAAAATTGAAAACAACTTTTTGATGCTTCATAAAACGATGGGTTCTTTTTAGAAATTTTATTTTCTAAAACGAATTATGAAAAATAATCCTCCAAACAAAATTTCTATATTTTTTAGCATTAAAAAAAAAGAAAAAGAAAAAAGACAACTAAACATTTATGTGCAAGTGTTATATGTATGCATGTGGGCAGTGGCGGAGCCACATAAGGACCGGGGGGTTAGGTTTCCCTCCTGAATTTTGTGATTTTTTTTTTTTACTAATATAAAGAAAATATTTTAAATAAAAAGAATTACAAAAATATTATTAAAGTGAAATGTCAATGACATTTTAAAATTTATGAAAATAATAATGATTGTTTTGATTGAAAATGAAGAGATTACTATAAACCATATTATCTATGAAAATTTTAAATGTAACGGTGATGTCATTATTATTGACATGCAAGTATAAGTAATCTCATTGTAAAGATATGAAATTTATTGAATTGTTAGTTACATTTAACATGTGAGGTTCACTTTCTATGTGTTTATTTACTATTAGTTGGTGATATCGCATACTAATGATGACGTGATATTACCATTAAATTAAATTTTTAATCAAATTTTGTATAAAAAAATAATTTATCATTATATAATTTATTTTAAGACTTATATCCATATTTTTTCATATTGTCCATGATATATTAGTTGTAAATAACATTATTTTTTTGATGTTTCTCAAAATCAATTATAAAAACTTGCGTGAAATATTTTTGTAATTTTTTTAATATTGTAATTAATAAATACCCCATCTAATTTAACTTTTTGGGTCCGCCACTGCATGTGGGTATCACATTTCTTGGTTAATACCGCAGTACTTGATGCAATGGCAAAGAGAGTCAATCAATAGCTTAATTGAGGATGCTATAATGGAAGCTGAGGGAAGAGGCATTAGAGTTTTGAGTCTAGGTCTCATGAATCAGGCAAGTTCTCTCTCTCTCTCTCTCTTCAACATAAATCTCACATTTAAGTTGTTTGTGTTAAAATTGATGTATAGAGAAATAGAGAATTGTATTATTGATTGATTGTATGTTATCTATTACAAATGGTGAGGGGCTCCTTATATAGGAGATGTAGTGGAGTAGGTGGAGTAGGTGGTAGTAGGTGGTAGTGGTAGGTGTGTAGTAGGTGGTAGTAGGGGGTGATAGGTGTAGTAGGTGGAGTAGGTGATGGTAGGTTTTAACAGCCCCCCGCAAACTCAAGGGGGATAGGAACTAACCAACGTGAGTTTGGAGAGAGGAACAAAACAAGAAAATAGACTAATACATAAAATAAAAGAGAATAGGAGACATTGTATGGTCGTGTCAGACCGTTGGTGAAGACACTGGATGGTTGTGTCATAACGTTGTAGAGGACACTGGATGGTTGTGGCAGACCGTTGTAGCAGCTAACCGGAATCAAATGTCGGGAGCAGTTTATGGGGTCATGTCGGACCGTTGGAAAAGCTAACCGGAATCAATGTCGGGACAGTTTTATGGGGTCATGCCGGACCGTTGGAAAAGTCGCACCCTCAAAAGGTGTGCCCAATCTTTCAAAAGGCGTGCCATCAAAAGGCGTGCCCAATCCATAAAAAGACGTGCCATCAAAAGGCGTGCCGTCAAAAGGCGCGCCCAGGTTGTCGTCTAGCGCCGAGCGGCGCATGATGCGCGTGTCTGCCTTGGCTATTTAACCAAGACGGAGGCTGAGGCTGAGGCTGAGGCTGAGGCGAAGACAAAAAACTTGCGAAAAAAAACTTCTGAAAAACTCTGCGTTTTCTGAGAGAGAAACTCTGTAACACTCTGTTGCCCAGAAAATGGCCTCGTCTTCCCGTGGTCTGCTCACTCTCTTTCCCGACCTCAACGAGTCAACAAGAGAGATAACTGGTGCGGTGGCCCGTGAACCTCAACCAAACACCTCTGGTTTTGCTCCGTTAAACTTTTCGATGCGGTCGGTGGAGCAAAAAATGGCAGTGCAAACGGATATTGAGGCCAATCAGTATACATTGAAGTCATGTGTCGAGACCATGACGGCGGTCACAAACTTGTCGCACCGGCTTCAGAGTAGGACAAATGAGGTGCAACAGTTAAACGCCTAACTGGCTTTGCTCCAGCGCATGTATAAGGATGCGCGAGCAGAGATATGTGTGCTAAAAGCGAAAAACAAGGAGCTGAAGCGGAAGGCCACCGTGATGTTCCGATTTGGAGATCCGCCATATGCTGCAGTGGAGGAGCAGGGGGGAGTGACCAGGGTCAGCGAGGCAGCACCGTCAAGGGCCGCCCAGGACATAGGCAAGAAGAAGAGACCCGCAGCAGAGTAGAGAAGAAAAATCCCACTGTGGGTGTGGTTGTTTGTTTTTTTCTTTTTTTTTTTTTGGTGTAAAATTGTGAACGGGGTTGATCCCGGCATGAATAAAATGAGTTTGGTGTGCAGTTTTGTTTTTTTTTTTTTGTTATATATTTATACATATATATATATATATATATATATATGAAAAACGAAAATGATAAATACGGGGATAAGAAGAAGAAAAAGAAAAATAACTTGTCAAAAAAGCTGAGGGACATGCCATGTGGGTGTCATGATAAGAAAAGGCAAAAGAAAGAAAAAAGAGGAAAATTCAAACAGGAGTGGGGACAAGTTGGGTGGTATTTGGTGGAAAGAATGACACAGAAAAGGCAAATTAGTGAGGTGGTGTTGAATGTGGGTTGGTATTATAATAAACAAAATATGTATGTAGAGATAGAAAAGAAAAGAAAGTTGAAGAGAGTGTGAATATGCTGATGATGAAAAGTAAAAACATAACATAAATTAAAAATTAAAAGGGGTAGTGGGGAACCGAGTGGTGTTTGGTATTTTTTTTTTGTTTTTGTTTTTGTTTTTTTTTAATAATAATAATAATATATTAATGGGGAAAGCATGTGCGCTGGTGGGTTGGAAAGTGAAAAAATGAGAGAGAGAGAGAGAGTGGGGTACACGATGATGAGGTTGGATCCATGGAGAGAGAGAGAGAGAGAGAGAGAGAGAGAGAGAGAGAGAGAGAGAGTAAAACTGTGTATTTGTGTGTGTTTGTGTTTTCAGCTCAGGTAAAGAGAAGCTCTCTTCTCATCCCCAACGTTTTAAACCCCCGGCCGCTCATGAAACCAACAGCTAGCAAATAACAATTTGACTTCAATCCAGCAAGCCTCAACCCATGTAAACTCATCTTCAACGGAGGGCCCCACCTTAACCCACTGTAACTCCGGTGCTGAGAGAGATACCACCGACAGAACACAACCAGGGATAGGGTCTTTGAAAACTCACACCAGTGAGCTTGCTCCTTAGAGACAATTGAAGCAACAGAACCAAGTTTTCTTCCCTCCGAACATCATTGACACGACACTAGAGTAACATCCATCCAACCAAGCACTCAGCAAACAGAGCTATCTCCATGCTCACAGCCAGCGAAGGTGTTAAGATAATGACATAGTAGCTCGCGGACTAAGCATACAAGTTAGCCTGAGCACAAATTGCCACCGTGAGAACCAAAAACCATCATGGTGAATGGAGGCCACTGTCAAGACCATTAACCGTCCTCCACCACAGAAAGTGGAGATCACCTTCACTGCAGCCTTCAACCGATAAACGATGAAGGCTCAACAATAGCAACCCGTCCACACGACAGTACACAGCCACTGAGCAGGGCGATAAACACAGACCCCCAGAGAGAGAAATAGTATGAGAGTGATGTGTTTTGAGTGTTGATGAGAAAAGAAATTTGCTTCAGCTCTGCTTCAATTTTGTAGTGATACAAAATCAAGTACAAATACAGGACCAAAAAGAAAATCACAGACACTTTCAGGATTTGTCTCGCCTTCGATGGAGCAATCGGAGGCTTCGTGGTTTTGGGTTGAGTTTCGGTGGTGGTTAGAGGCTTCGGCGACCGGAGAACCAGGTCGAAGTCGTCTCCATGAGAGAGAGATCATGGATTGGTGTCAACGATCATGTAGGAGATGCAGTGAAGCCAAAGGTGATTGGTGATGATGCTCTGATCTTGAAGGTGAATGTTGAATTGGGTTTAGTGGCAGCGGAGTCAAGGTATGTGTAGAGGTCCGGCGGGCGGCCAAGACGAGGCTGCCGCCCGCCGGTGAAGCAGAATGACTAGGTTCTTAACCTCGCTCTGATACCATGTTAAAATTGATGTATAGAGAAATAGAGAATTGTATTATTGATTGATTGTATGTTATCTATTACAAATGGTGATGGGCTCCTTATATAGGAGATGTAGTGGAGTAGGTGGTAGTAGGTGGTAGTGGTAGGTGTGTAGTAGGTGGTAGTAGGTGGTGGTAGGTGTAGTAGGTGGAGTAGGTGATGGTAGGTTTTAACAGTTTGGCAAAATTTATTTGCAGTTGGAAAGGCTAGCTTAAAAAAGTATGCCCAAACTTAGCATAAAAGAAGATTTTTTGAACGTATTTTGAATTTTTAGCTGAAAATAGCAAATATGTTGAAATTGAAAAGAAAAAAAAAAAAACCACATACCCTAACTTTCAAAAACGCAATTGCTTAAACATGAAATTTGAATTTTAAGCTACATAAGCTATAAATAAATTTGTTAAACGATTGTGTAAATACTAACATATATATGATTATTTTTTCCTAAAAAATTACAATTTCTAAATGATCAAAAGTAATCACACAAACATGGGATGTAACTCCCCCTGTGCTAAAAACCCATAGAAAGTGTTGCACCCTATGCCTCCCTGTAATTATTTTTAGTTTTCTACGCTGATTTGTAATTTTCCATTTTTTTCCATGATATATATGAATTGATTACTCTCTCTGTCTCTCTCTCTCTCTCTCTCTATATATATATATATGTTGTAGGGGGAGGAACTAAATAAGAATGGAGAGCTTTATATAAGAAGGAACCCTCAGCTCAAAGTGAAGGTGGTGGATGGGAGTAGCTTAGCAGTTGCTGTTGTTTTAAATAGCATTCCAAAAGGAACAACACAAGTCCTCCTCAGAGGCATTTTATCGAAAGTTTCTTATTCTATTGCCTTAGCTTTATGCCAAAGAGGCATCCAGGTATTTATGTTCTTATTTTCAACTTCTTAAAAAAACAAAGGGAGTACATTACATAGACTACATTTGTGGTTTAAAAAAATATAATAAATCCTATAAATATACCTTAATTATACCAATTTCCTTTTTAGCAAGGACAATATAAACAAAACTAACACACAGATAATCGATAGTAAAATATATATTTTAGTATAAAATAGATCATAATATCATTTTTTTTCCCCATTAATACGATTAATGAATGACTGACGGACAGGAAGCTATATATGTATTACATGAATTAAAACTTTAAAAAAACAATATAATTATGTCAAATTTGGGTGTTGGGTGTAATTTTTTTTCTAAACCACAAGAAGAAGTTAGATGCCTTTTTATATGGTGTGAGCCGCATTCGTGTTGAATATGCTACACAAATTTAAATTTAGCCAAAAAAATGTGTATGATATTAATTTAAATTTATTATGGTGTGAGCCGCATTCGTATTGAATATGCTACACAAATTTTAAAATTTAGATGCCTTTTTATATATTTGTTTAGATACGTAGCATTTCTAATTCAACGTATAGCATTTTTGAAAAAATTGTTGAGAAAATTATATTTATGCAGAAACAACTAAAAATAATTGTACTTTTATAGAGATGCAATCCTAAACAAGTGAAAACTGCATTGGACACAAACTCACTTGAACTTCCAAAAAATGTAATTATTTTGATATATTCCCGCTTTAAATACAGTTTCCTCAAAATTGTTTAGGTCAATCTTAGCCTCAAACCATGCCAATGTACTTCTTAATTTTGCTTCATCTACTAATTACACAACTTGAATATCCAATAGGTGTCCACACTATATGAAGATGAGTATAACAAGCTTAAGTTAATGCTTGGCACTGAGGCTTCAAATAATTTGGTCCTTGCCAAAACTTATGCTCTCAAGGTAAATTTTCCTTTAATTGCTTCTTTCTTCTTTCTCCCAACGTAAGTCCCATTATTCATAATCTATCATTTGCAAATAGAGTCCCTTTGTTTTAAATGTGAAAGATGATTTGAATGAGCATAATTTTTAAATAATGTTTAATAGATTGAAATTACACACCAAATTATTAATCAACTAATTAAAAAAAAATTTTGGAGAAAATTTCATAAACTTAGCTCGAAAGAGAAAAGATCATCTTTGTAGAAAAGGGTAACTTAGATTAAAAGCAATCACAAACAAGAGATTCAAAGTTGCTGTATGTAGAGACAAAGTGAGAATTTTTATTCACCGGAGGCCAAAAAATATACACATTATCACAAAAAAATTTAGATGGGTAAAAACAAAATTGGATTTTTTCAAAAACTACAAAACAACTAGTAAATTATAAGCAGTGTTGAAATTATAGAGTAGCAGAAAACAAAATTTTGGACGCGTAAAAATTTTAGTTTTTTATTTTATTTTTTGGATCAAGCATAAAAATTTTAGATTAGAAATTTTATGTTCCACAATTTTAGTGGGGAAAATTGATTTTATTTATTTATTTATTTATTTTAAAACAACAGGTAAATATAGTATTTTGAAAATTACAACGAGGCCATTTTGAAATATAAAAATAATTATAAAATCATATGAAAAAAAATATAAAATAAAATTTTTAAAACTCACTTACACCACTTGCATATAATGGCTCCGGTCATGGCTATAGGATTCTTTACAAACACAAAATTAGGGGGAAAAAAAATGGAAAATTTTTGCAAAAATTTATGTTAGATGCATGATTTTAAATAAGGATAACAGGATATTTATCCATATAGGTGATATAGTCATATATCTCGGTAAATAATGGTATTAAAAGATCAAAATCTGATATTTAAAACCTTCATATGAGAAAATTTAGATTTATAATTAATTTTGAGAAGTGATGGTGATGAATTGAATATTTTGCAGACATGGTTAGTGGGAGAAGGGTTGAGAGAAGGAGAACAAATGAAGGCATTAAAGGGAACAATGTTCATTCCATTCTCACAATTCCCTCCACAGAAAATTCGCAGTGACTGCTTCTATCACTACACACCCTCATTGGCCACTCCCAAGTATCTCCAAAATGTTGACTCTTGCGAGGTTAGAGACACACATCTTTTTCTTTCTTAAAGTTATTATTATTATTTTTTTCTGATTATCTTTGGTGGATTACAAATTTTTATTTGATTAGAATCTCTGCACCTTACCGAGAGGTCAAAAGTTTAAATTTTGGCACATTTGGTTTAAAAAAATAATTTGTATATTTGAAATATATCAAAAACAAATATAAATTTTTCCCCCCCCAAATAACAAGTGGCAAAAAATGAGTGCAAAAAAAAAAAAAATTATATATATATATATATAATAAACATGAAATCTTATAAATCAAAAACTCATTTCTTTTTTTGATCAGCAAAAGAAAGAAATTTTATTGATGAACAAAGATATTACATCAATAAAGGAGAAAACAATGAGTGCAAAAAAGCAACATGACAAAACAAATCAATCCCAACTAGGTTGGCACTGATAGGATCACCCAATCATATGCAAGCATAACAACAAAAGTTGGCGAGTAACCAACACAAAAATACCGGCCACACCCAAAATAATTGGGGTGTTTGAGAAGTTAGTTTTTAGGATTTTTTTTTTTTGTTTTTTTTTACTAAAAGACAAATTAGTTACAAAACCAAAAAAAAAACAAATCCAAACAAAATATCACATCAAACCCCATAATGATTTCGCTTTTTTTCTCACAAACACCACATCCAATCACAAAAAAACTCAACTATCTTCCCAAACACAAATTTTTTTTTCTCCACTAATATCCTACACCTTAAAAAACCTACAAAAAAAACAAATTCCCAAACACCCACAATATGTAGACAAAACAGACCCAAAAACCTATCCCAAACCAAGACCACCAACTCACTACCCAAGCTGATCAAACCCAGTAATCAGAAGCAAGAAAACCATCCACAACCAGCACTAGCAAGCTCTGTCCTTCTCAGATCATTCCTCGAGCAAACCTACAACTACTCAGAACACCACCCCAGACCCATCCCTAATAGATACCAATACAGAGTCCAATCAGTACAATACGCCGAAGCAGAGAAACAAGCACCTTTGCTGCAAGGAAAACCCATCTGCGTCACTTTGAACATTGAATTTGCTGCCAATTAAACACCAAATCATGAACTGTAAAGTTATATCTTGGATGATGATACCTAACCCAAAGAGCAATCCGAACCTTTACATGATCAGAGAGCAAACCCAACTGTGGTTGCGAACCTAAGAACACACATTCATTCCTACATTTCCAAATGGACCACAACAGAGCCGCTGGAATAGACTTCCACACTGCTACCTTGAACTTTTTAAACTTGACACCCGCCCATCAGTCAAGAAGGCCCCCAATTGTCCCAGGAACAACCTATTGTAAGCCCCACCAATCCACCAAACTTGACCACACCTTCCAAATCATCGGGCATAATAACAACACATGGTTAACAGACTCCACTTTGGAGTTGCAGAATTTACACAGATTATAAACACTACCACTTAGGACGCCAACTCTCTGAAGGTAAGCTACTATCTAGACTCTATCTTTCCATGCCAACCACCCAAAAAATTGCATTTTCAGAGGGGTTAAATTATTCCATAATAAATATGGCACGTCAGAGGAAACACCTACCACATTCCTATTATAAAGAGAAGCAACCATAAACTCACCTGAGGGGGATGGCTTCCAACATAGTCTGTCTTTTGCCCTAGAAGAATCAAAACTCGTCGCATTTAACATGGCACAAAGTTTACCCAGTTCCTCCACCTCCTAAGCTTGGAGAACTCTTCGAAAATTAAAGACCCATTCATCTGACTGCCTTTTCCTTTCCACAATGTTACACAGAGAAACCTCATTCTCAACAGACAAAAAATAAAGTCTTGGGAACTCCGAACACAAATGGTGACTACCAAGCCACAAATCAACCTAGAATCGAATTCAAGACCCATTCCCTGGGATTATCATGCAGTTGGCTATGTAAAAATTCCCCAGATTTGAATTACGGCTAACCACTGCTAAAATTCCTCCCCACACAGTGGATAGTCTACATGACTCATCCGCAAAGGAAAACCAGGACCCACCCAATAAGGCGTACTTCGCACATAAAACGATCTTCCACATTGCCTTGTCAATCTTGCCAAATCTCAACCACCATTTTGCTAGCAAACAATCATTGAATTCTCTAATATCCTTGATACGCAAGCCGCCTAGAAGCCTGTTTTTTGTTACTTCTCCCCACTTTACCATGTGCAGTTTCCGCTTCAGATTAGAACCTCCCTACAAAAAGGTTGCTTGCACCCCCATCAAGTACCTTTGCTACACCTTGTGGCATTTTAAATAAGGAAAGATAATATACCGGTAAACTATTTAGCACTCCTTTAATCAAGGTAACTCTACCCCCTATAAGAGAGAAGCTTTCGTTTCCATGATGCTAACTTAAGTTTGAACTTTTCAATTACTAGCTTCCAAGTAGAGAGTCTTCTAGGACTTGCCCCCAAAGGTAGTCCTAAGTATGAGAAAAGAAGTTTTTAACTCTTGCATCTTAAAATGTCAGCGAAGCCCTCCATTACACTGTCCTCCACGCCCACCCCACAAATACGAATTTTATGGAAATTAATTTTGAGCCCAGACATTAACTCAAAACACCGAAAAATTCTTTTGACTGTAGAATCTCACATCTATCAACTTCACAGAATATAACCGTGCAAACTGTAAATGCGATAATACCTCCTCTCCAGTTCCTATCTTCACACCTCTAATTAGGCCCAAATTGCTGGCTCTGATCATTAAAATATTCAATGCCTCAGCCACAACAAGAAAGAGGAAAGAGGACAGTGGATCACCCTGTCGAAGTCCTCTTTTAGAGCAAAATTCATTCGTAGGCGACCTATTCCCCAACACTGATACTCTTGCCGAAGAAACACACTCCTTAATCCACCCCATGAACCTAGAGCAGAATCCGAATTTTGCAACATATGCAGTAGAAATCCCTAATTTACTGAGTCGTATGCCTTTTGGAAATCAAGTTTTAGTATGATCCCTTGCTTATGGCTCTTTTTCCACCAGTCAACAACTTCATTGGCTGTCAAAACCCCATCCAAGATATTCCTACCTTTCAAAAATGTTGATTGTACACTGCTAACCACCCTAGGTAGGACTGACTTCACTCTATTAGCAAGCACCTTAGTGAGAATTTTATATATCGACCCAATTAGGCTAATTGGTCGATAATCCAGCAAGGTAACGGGGCAATCCTTCTTTGGAATTAGAGTGATAAAGGAACTCTAAATACCATATGATAATTTTGCATGACGATGGAACTCCTTGAAAAACTGCAAAATGACTGGCCTAAAGATCTTCCAGCATTTTTGGAAACAAGCCATGTTGAAGTGATCCGGAGCCAGGGGTTTATTACCATCGCACTCCTTTATAGCCATCCAAATTTCTGCCTCTGAAAATTCATCTTCTACTGTCGAAGCCACAGCATCACTCCTAATGGTGCTAAATGGCCCATTCAACGAAGGCCTAACCTTCCAATCATCCTTGAACAAGGTAGCGAAAAACTTGAACGCTTCTTTTTTGATTGTTGCGAGATCATTACACTGAGAACTCTCCACTACTACAGAATTTAACAAGTTCCTACTCTGCCTACTGGTTACCATAATGTGGAAGAACTTAGTATTACGATCACCCTTTAACGTCCATGATAATCTAGACTTCTGCAACCACATCCATTCTTGTTGTTTGCTCCACTTCCAAACCTCATCTCTGAGAAATCTAGTTCTAGCCAGTTCAGTGACATTAAGTTCCCTAGATTCCGCACACAAATCTAGCAAATGGAGCTCATCCTCAGCTTCTTTGAGCTTCTGCTTAACATTACCAAATACATGAATATTCCACTCCTTTAGTTTAGCTCTAAGGGCATTCATCTTGGAATGAATGACAAACCCTGCCTATCTAGTGACCACCAAGTCCTCCCACAATGTTTTCACTACTTGGAGAAACTGTGGATGCAGGGTCCAAGCGTTAATGAACTTAAACAGTCTTGTCCTCCAGTCCCGAGCATCTTCCATTAGTATAATTGAACAGTAATCGGAGACAACTCTTGGTAGCCCCCACACCTTACAATTGAACACTCCCAACCATTCCAGAGATATAAGAAATCTATCAATTTGACTCCATTTATCCCTTTCAAAGGCATTACACCACGTAAACTTCCTCTCCAACATTGTCAAATCACACACTTCCAATGACTTAATGAACTGATTAAATTCCTTCATCCCTCGACCCCTAGCAGAACAATCTTTTCTTTTCCCAAGATTCCTTATTTCGTTAAAATCACCCTCTAGACACTAAGGAAACACAAACAACGGTTTTAACCTGATAATTGTGTCCCATAAACATTTCCTACGTGACACCTCATTTGAGCATAAACATTCATTAGGACGCAGTCAAAAGCAGGGAGAATGGTACCTGAAAGCAGGACGAAATTCCTACTACCATAGCAACTACTCAACTTGAACACTAATGGGTTCCAAACACAAAGTAAACCAACTGCAAACCCTTCAGGATCAATTACCATGAATTCCATCTCAGCCCCGGGCCAAATAGACCGGATAAAATTTTCAGTGACTCCAGTTTTCTTCGTTTCCTGGAAAAAAACAGCATCCACCCCCCGATCACGGAATACTTTAGGTCAAGTTTGACATATTACAAAAAAGTAAAAAAAGTTAAAAAATTACTTAAAAAGTTAAAAAGTTAACGGTGTTCACCAAAAATCAACAATTACAGCCGCACAATTCTCAATCTTAATTTTTCTCTACAAATCAATTTTTACAATTTTTTATTACATATTTTTTCATAAAAAGTCAAAAAGTTAACACAAACATCCATATTTTCTTTCTCAATTTTTTAGTCTAAGACAAAAAAATACACTTAGTTATATTCCATGACCAAATCTTTATTTAAAACTGGGCAAATACCAAAACCACCTAACCATGAAATTCATGGACGAGCTGTCCTCCCACAGTCTACTGTAAGCTCCGCGTCTTTCAACTCCAACTCTACACACTTAGCCAACACTTTTGATTCTTTCCCATTACAATCTAGCTCAAGACTTTTCGCCAGCTGTACCATTGCATTAGCTTCATCCAACAACCATTACATTAGCTTCATCCGACAGCCACCTCTCCCTCTGGTTGGCCGTTGATGAGGATGAGGATAGGGCTACCATAGCTGCCCAGCACCAAGCTCCCCTGTGCCAACTCCTAGTTGGCGTTGCCCCTTTTATCCTGGTAACCTTCGTCCCTCTTGCCATTCTTTGAACCAGAATTGTTTCAGACCTTGATAATTTCCTCCCTCCCCTATATTTATTTTCCCTAATTCGTGGCCTAGGGCATATAGAACTCATCATATGGTTGCTTGTATCTCCCACCAAAAGCCCACATTCTCCAATCTGGTTTTGATTTGAACCCCTTAGTGGCTGACTAAGGCCCACAACACCACCTACCTTTGCTTCAGGACACGGTCCACTAGCAGGGCCACCTACTTGAGCTTCCCTTAACACAAGCCCAAGCAAATGGGCTTGTCCCAACATTACCTCAATATCAACAGGATGCCTTCCAAAATCTGCCCCATTTACATTCCGAACAAAACCGGATGTAATAATTGCATCATCCACATTCAATTCATTTGCACTTTAACTCCAAACTGAGTTACAACTACCCCAGCACCTCTGCTGTCGGGTGCTATGTTTGGTCTTCCAAGACCAACAACACCCCTTTCCGCTACTATTGATGGGGAGGGCCTTATAACTTCACCGGCCACTCCAACTCCCAATCCCATCCCAGTCGTATCTCATAGCAACATCCCATCAGTACATGCCACCTCACCATCCTCATGGAGCCGCTTAAGTTGAGATTTACTGGCAAGTCACATCAATTTTTCTGATGTGATTTGCCAGTAAATCTCAACCACACAATATAGCACTCTAGGAAACTTTAGGAAAATTTCACTCTAGAGGATCCTTGGTGATGGTTGCTACCTTATTCGGGCACGCCACCTCATCATCCACATTAGCATCCTCTTTGCAAACCAACTCCTCGTTCAGCCTCCCTGCGACTGTAGAAGACACGACTGTAGACACTGGTTCAATAGACATTTGCAAGCTTCAGTAACCACCTTTGATACAACCATTTGTTCCTCATAGACCCGATCTAGGTATGATCTTCCCCCACAATTGAGACTAATGACCTGATTAACGGAACTCATGTACTTTGTTGCCATCTTAAGCTTACCGCATCCAAAATAGAACATTTTAGCCGTGTCTTCTACAATTTCAACAACCTCACCCCAAATCTTTCAATAAACATACTATAGCTCCACAGATTCAATGGGACTCCAAAACAACTAAGTCATACAAAACGTTCTTGACCCAAATGCATATCTTGTTTCCATTCTAAAACAGATTCACACTATACGTCCAATAGATCACCGAGCAGAATTAATTTTTCTTTCATGTCCTTTACCGATTGAAATGTCGACACTGCATCTCTTTCTTTTCCTTGCCTGACTACTATGTCATCAGACCCCTTCAGATGTACAACACCTTCAAATTCCAAAAAGCTATACTGACTTCTCAATTTAACAATGACACTTTCAAATAACCAGCCATTACCCTCTTCTTTTGCCGAAACCACCACGGCACCATCGTTCTTGGTTCTTGTAACTTCGGCAACTGATCTTATCTCATACCCTCCATATGGCTGTTGTCTATGTTCCCACCCCAAACTAGAAACATGGCCGTTTGCTTTACCTTCCCCTGGTTTGATAACAGACGCATGTTGGCTGCGATACTGGGTCTTTCCAAACTTGGCCATCTTGACTTTAATAGCTTGATCATCACACCATAACCCATTAGCTTTTTGGATAGCCACCTCTGCAGCTACAGTGCAATCGAACCGAACAAATCCAAACCGTGTCCTCGTAGCTCTCCTAGTCTTATCTGGTATGAACACATCCTTCACCACTTCAACCTTGTTGAACAATAAGGATAAACCTTTCGAATTCATGGACGATGGCAAACTGTCTACGAAGATAGTAAACACCTCTGTTTGATCCCTATTTGGTACAAACCTTTGTGTATGTCGCCCTCTTTGGTATAGTACAGGCTGTCATCCTTTCCCAAATCAAAAACTATTTATCACCAATTGGATAAATCATATTGCAATATAATTAATTCTATTGTTTGATACATATAATGCAATTTATTTTTCTTATTATGGTTCATGTTCACATTTTTTGAGACATTTTTTTATATTTTTTTGAAGTGCAGTACACTAGTTATAGCCCAAAGATAAATGGATTAAGATAATAAGAATAGATTTATGGATAAATTACAATTACATTCCCCAAAGTTTAATTAAAATACAAATTTTCCCCTATAATTTTAGAAATTACAAATATCCCATTGTCATAATTTTTTATTTAATAGAATTATCAGAAAAAATAAAATTCCTAAATACTCTTACATGTAATAATTAAATTACCATAATTGTGAATTAAAATATATTCTTAACATCATTCAATACTTTTAATTGGCTTAGTGATTTATTTATAAATGGGTAATTTCTTATGTGATTAGAAATTTAAAAGGGTAGGATCAAGGTTTTAAATAATGGTGGCGGTTACCATAATGGTAGCAGTAGCGTTGACATGGTTTCGAGGTGTAATGGCCGTAACATAACGGTTGCAGCAACCCAAACCATGAATTTTTAAATTTTTTGCACAATTTTAGGAAAATATACCAATACGCATGTTTTTATTTCAGAATCACATTTAGTGAGGTTCAAAATAATTTTTAATATTTTTGTTTAGTTTTAAAATATAATTCAATATGTATATACTAATTTTTATATTAGTTATAAGTCATTATGGAGAATTTTCCTACTGTTGGATTTATATAATTTTCTTTGCTTTACTAATTATGAATTTGTTAGGAAAAAATGTGAAGTATCTTTAACATTAAAAAAAATAATCTCATAAGCATAAGTTCAAAATACAAACATAATAATGTAAAAATACATAACATGAAATGTAAATTTTGTTCAATAAATTTAACATAAGAGAAATAGATATAAGTTTTTTCTCCTGTTTTTTTTAGATAGGAGAAGCAATTACAAAGTAGAGGTAGCCTTAGAAGCAACCAATGCCACTATGGATGAAGGCACAGTTTTCATTCAAACATGTGGAGAATCAAATTCAAAAGCTAACCTATGTAAACAATCAAGTGAAAAAGTAATGAAATCTTATAGAATTAGAAGATTGGACAATCAAAACATATATAGATAAGATTTTTACTTTAGTTCTATGCAACTAGAAAACAAAAAGGGAAAATAGTATTATTATTATAAGCAAAATTTATATAAAAAAAACAAACACTTGAAAAATAGTGGTTGTAATGGCCGTAATGGTAATGTAACGGTTGTTACGGCCTTTACGTAACGATTGAAACGTTATGATTGTGAATTTGTGTCACACCGTTAGAGTGGCCGTAATGGATGGTAATAACCACCACAACCATTATGTAACGTTGTTTGCGGCCACTTTTTAAAACTTTGGACATGATGTAATTTTTAGAATCACAATCGATATTTTAATCAAATCTCAGGCACTGTATATGTATTTTTGCATATACTTTATACACATCTATCTTACATTTTGATTTTAATTTTCTTATCATTGTCTTTTAAAATTTGAATATCATGTGTATTTGTGAAATAGAATTGGTTGCCGAGAAGGGTGATGAGTGCATGGAGGATTGCTGGGATAATACATGCTTTGGAAGGTTGGAATGTGAATGAATGTGGAAACTTCGTCTTCAACATTGATAAAGTTTGGGAGGCCACTATTCGTCATGGCTTTCATCCTCTGAAGATGTTGAATCACTTCGACCCTTGATTACAACTCTCTCTCTCTCTCTATATATATATATATGCTAGGGGTATGAAGCCAACCAATGAGTGGGCTTAAAATATGAATTTTAATTTTAAATTGGAAACATATCTTTTATATTGTTTAAGTGGTGAAATTTTTATTTATGAAGTTAATAACGGTCATAAGTTCAAGTATTGTACCCTTCTTGTAACTATCGACTTATTCACTTTTAATAATAATATAGATATATATGAATTTGATATGAAAATATTACTATATATTTCTTGAGTATGTGTACTGGGCTATATTTGTATGACCTTTAATATTAATTTATGTATCATATAAATTACTTGAGCTTTTCTATATTTTTTTATTTTTTTGATCAATCAAAAGAAGACCTTTATTGATGAAGCAGTCAATACAAAGTAAATGAGCAATACATCAATAAAGGGAGTGAAAGATGGTGCAAACGTCATCATAGTTTACACTCCAAATCCCAACTAGGTTAGCACCCAGAAGTAAACACAATCATCTGACAGCGTCACCCTAGGCTGGTGAAAAACCAACCAAAAAGAGAATAGAAACCGGACAACGACATTAACAGCCCACCCACAATCAATGACTAGGCATATCAGCTACCAACACCTAGTCATCTCAGATATAGAGCCTCACTTGACTCAGATTTTCCACGATTTGATGCACAGAGTACTGGACAGAAGGCATGGAAGACTTAACCCACAGCCCAACTCTCACTTTCACTACCTCACTCAGCTCATTCATATCTGGTTTCTTTCCATTAAACACAACCTTATTTCTTAGCCTCCAAGTGGACCGCAACATTGTTACAGGTACCAACAGCTAGATTTTCTTGACAGATTTTTTATGCTTTGTTCCCATCCACCAAGACAACACTCCATCCACAGAAGTAGGGGATACCCAGCAGAGATTCCACCACTGTAGCAAACATCCCCAAACCTTCCAAATCTGAAAGCACTGCACAAAGAGATGATCCACAGATTCTACTGCAGCTGAACAAAAAGGGCAATCAGTCACAAACAGTATTCCCTAACACTTCAAATCTGCAGAATAGTAGATGCTTTGATCCTACCTCTTCAAGCCAACCAACTTATAAATTATGCTTTGGGTGGTGCTTCATTAATCCAAATCATCTTATGAACAAGTAACATGGGGCCAGACCTTAACAGAAGCCATTTTCTCACAGATGCCACTGTAAACACACTAGAGCGAGATGCAATCCACCTTACTACATATTGCATATCTACATTCAGCCTAGGGACACCCCTTGTCAACAATTGCAGCTTCCTTGCCTCATTTTCCTCCTAAGCAAATAATGACCTTCTAAATTGAAGCCACCAATCACCCTCACTGTTCCTCCTCTGCATAAAGGAACTCAACAGTCAGTCTTTATCCATAGAGAGCGTAAACAATCTGGGAAACTCCTCTTTCAACTGTAAATCCATGAACCATCTATCATGCCAAAACTTAATCCTACACCCATTCCCAACCACAATCTTACACTGAGCCAAAAAAAAATTGAAGAAGCTCCGGATTAGATCTTTCCGTACTTAGAACATCACTCCACAAAATCGATTCCTTACCCTTTCCATCCTTCAGTGGTAACCATTTGCCACCTGCAGACCCATATTTGCTGATAAGAACCTTTTTCCACAGTGAATGATCCTCCACCCCATACCTCTACCACCACTTTAATAACATACAATCATTAGTATCCTTTGCCTTCTTGATACCTAGCCCTCCTTGGTCCTTTCTTAATGTTAATCCTTCCATTTTACCATATGTATCTTGCTTTTTAACTCTGAACTGCCCCCATAAGAAAGCTGCATTCAACTTATCAATTTCCTTAGCAATACCAATGGGTAATTTGAATAAAGAAAGATAGTAACCAGGAATACTGTCCCAAACTGATTTCACCAGAGTTAGCCTTCCGGCAAATGACAAGAGCTTCCTTTAACACATAGCTAACCTTGACTTAACCTTATCCACCATAGGTTGCCAAGTCTTCTTCTTTCGTGGATTCGCATCCAGTGGCAATCCCAGATACTTTAGAGGTAGCTTTTGGCATAAACAGTGCAGTGTTGAAGCAAATCATGGATCATAGTATCACTAACTCCAACTCCACACACCACACTTTTATGAAAATTAATCTTCAACCCTAACATTACCTCAAAACATCTAAGAATTCTTTTAACATTTACAATCTCCTCCCACTCAGCTTCACAAAACAAGATAGTGTCATCTGCAAACTGAAGATGAGACAGCTTCAATTTTGCAGACCCAATATGTAACAACCCCGACCTTTGATTAACGTTAATTCATGATTAAATATGCTTAATAAGTAATTAAGGTGAAATCCTGAGTTAATTACACGTGCATTGCATTATTTGTGTTTATATCTGTCTAATATAGAAATATATGTTTCTGTTTCTGATTTGTTCTGCGAATTGAAAGCCATATCGACATCCAATCACGAAATCGACTTGATATATGTGTTAATTGGAATTTTTAAAGCATTATGGCAAGTTTAATTAGAATTCGATTCGGAACGATTTAATTAGAATAATTGATGCTCAATTAAGCTTAATTAATGAATTGTTTAATTCAAGCCTATATAAGGCACTTATTGTGCCTCCACTCATCATTTTCCTTCATTTTCAACACATTTTTGAGCTAGCACACACAAACCAATGTAGGAGAGAGGGAGAAGAGGAGTTTGAGCTCAAATTAAGAGGATTGCTAGAGAACTTAGAGATTTTGGCTTGGAACCTCCAACAATTGATCATCTAGAGCATCATTGACAAAGCCTAGGTTCTTCAACCATTAGATTGTACAATTATGATGTGTAGGACATGAATTCTAGAGAATTATGTTGGATGATACAAGAATTGAGCTAGAAATGAAGATAATTTAACCATATCATGCATCATGCATATATCATAGCATTTTGAGTATGCTTCTAAAGAATTTCCACACGCATGTATCTATTTTGACTTGGTTTTGAGAATTCACCACATTTCTTACCATTTGATCTTAATTGATCATGTTTTGGAAAGCCTATGTTCTAAATAATTCATGCATGTCATGTTTATGGCATATTCATAAATTTCAAGTTGGAGTTTTGATCAATTGGCATGCTTTTGGGCCTTGACTAAGTGTGATGATCTTCAAATCAATGTATTTTACAAGTTTCTAAATGTTTTCTAGAGTTTTGGCCCAAAAAGATGAGTTTTGAAGTATCTGATTCGAGTTTGAAGCTTAAGAGTGCAATATGGAAATTCCAGATTTTGCACTTCCACTCGAGCAGTAGAAGCTGCGCTCAAGTGACCACTCTGTGATCTTGCACTTCTGCTCGAGTGAGAAATACAAGCTCCCAGAAGTTTACACATTTTGTAGACCGCTCGAGTGACAGAAGTTGCGTTTGAGCGGGGACCTCAGTCTTACGCTCGAGCGACCGTCGAGCGGCCATCGAGCGGAGAATTCACACAACCAGTTGTAGACAGCCCAATTTTAACCACTCGTAAGGCTTAGCCGCTTGATTCCAAACACTCGATGATGAATGTTACATTGTGTAAATGGTTTGAATTCTCAACAAAGAAATTCGATTTCAAGCTCTAAACAATCTTAACTTGTCATATCCACTGTATTTCTACCCCAGGAACTCAATTTTGAACATTGTACCAACCTATATTGAACCTGAAAGTGAAAAACAGTGGAATACACTGAGGCCCGGTCGTGCCTCGGTGATGGTCGGCCGTGGGTATCAATGCCCGGCCAGGCCTCTTGACTTTTCAAAGAAGATTATGTAAATATCTGCCAGCTATCTATTTCTGCAGATATTTTGATTTACAGCTCAGTCTCTATAAATACGAAGCTGCTGGACTGAATTGAAGAGGTTGAGAGGTTGATATATATCAAGGTTTAGAGATATCAAATTATATAAGCATAATCCTTCTTTTGTAAGTCATCTTCCTACTTTCATAATCTTATATCATCCATTCATACCATATCAACATAGAGCTTGGACTTGGAATTTGATTGAGATTTGCAAACCATAACTCAAACTTGAGGGTGTTGGAATCAAGTTTGTTAACTAATAGCTTACCTCTTTTTCAAAGGTATAATTTTGCACTTTCTTCTTTCATCTTCTTATACTCTTTTCCTCTATTTTTCTTGCCTTTATATACTGATTTTCAGAGCTGAATTGAGACCCAAAAAAACATGATTTGAGGTTTTGAAATTGGAGGGGTTAACCACCCCTCCTTAGGCTTTGCTCCATAACTTTTTCTCTACTCTTTTTACTTACTTTCTCTTGCTTTTAGCTGCTATTTTTCACCCATTAAGGGGCTGTTTTAAGGCTATTTTAATTTATTTAGATAGCTTATGCTTTGATTAGTTTGCTTGCCGTCTCATAAGTTTGCTTGTATAGTTTATTACATGTTGTTCTAGCTTTTCTTCAATTCATTTAATAATCTCATTTTAATAATCAAGTTAACACTCTATTCCATCTGAGAGTTGTTTCAACCGGTTGACGATTATTCAAAACATGAACTAGCGATTTACACTTAATGGCTTAATCTCTACGGAGGTTCATTGCCAACGGTGTAGTCTCTTTTTCATGTTAAGAATTACTTCCCGTTTGACACTTCTTTGCTTTTAGAGGACTTAATCATCATTTCGGACAAATGGACTAAAGAATGGAAATGACTAAACAAATTGGTTTAAAATTGGATTAACACACATAAAGAAAATGACTTAATTTGTTTAGGCTTGGCCAGACGTTATGCCAAGTTAATCAAGTCAAGAATGATCATACACTAATTCATAGCGTTTTGATAATTCTTGAAGCGTCTCTACCACCCTCTTAGAGTTCACTCCATGACAAGAGGGAGGCGTTGCCATGTTCATTTCATTTATCGATTCTTGTCCAAATTGTATTCGAAATCATCAAGTAATCAATTTGCCCATTGATGGATTTGGAAACAACTCTACTCTTCTCTCAAGGCTTTCCCATGACAGAGAAGTGTGAGATAGACAAATAGAGTCTAGAACACTCTGTCTGCACTGTTTTCACTTCAGAGCACCAAATGGAGTTACATGAAACAGAGCCGCGGTTGGCCTTCCTTCGGCCCGGCCGGGTGTCAGTGAGGGCCAGCTGGGCATCAATGAATGGTAAGGCAGTGTGTTGTGCAGAAACAGAGGGCAGTAGCTAAAGGTGAAAC